AAATTTTAACCTTTTACTAACCTGAAAATAAGTCAGCTGTTATAGAGGAAAATGTTAAAATGTTATTAATACCAAGAATAACAATATTTATGTAATGTTTTTTAAAGACATTTTAAAAAATGATTTCCTTGATTATGAGGTTATAAATACCTAAAACCAGAATGCTCTGTATTTTCTTTACTTAACTATAATTAGTTTTTGGTTTCTAGCTTGAGCCATTAGATAAATGACATGTTATTCATTGATATGTGGAAGAATGAACCTGGTTTAGAAATGAGAACTTCACTTTGCATGTTAAGTTTGAAGTTCCTATGTGGTACCTGAGTAGAGGCCTCAGGCCTTTTGGTATGTGAATATGGGGTTGAGCAGGTAGAAATGAGTGAATGAAAGAATAACAGCTTAGTGATTTAGGTTAAGAATTCTGGTGCCAGACTACCCAGATTTGGATTCTAGCTCCACTCTTAGTAGTTTCTGACCTTAACAAGTTATCTAACTCTGTGCCTCAGTCTCCTCGCATCTAAAATGGGGACAATACATAGGCTGATGTGAGGATTAATGTAAATGAACATTTTTTGTGGGTTTCTTGTTTTATTTTGTTTTTTTGAGACAAAGTCTCACTATGTAGTTCAGGTTGACTGTGAACTCACTATGCAGCCCAGGCTGGCCTCGAACTCACGAAGATCTTCGCATATTAGCTTCCTGAATGCTGAATTACACAGGCGCCACTATGCCTGGCAAAGTGAGCATTTTTTTTTTTAATTCTATGATTGCTCCTGTTAGTTGTATAGTCCAGCAATGGTGTTTCTCCAATGTTGGTGGCTCTCCAAGTTTAGGTCCAGTTCAGTGCCCAAAGAGGCAGATATTTTGTGAAAGTATCCCCTTTAAGAACTTCTAATGATTTAACATACTTTCACATTCCTCTGAGTCTATTTCTCAAATTAAAGTATTTCTTTACATAGTATCATCACCCAACCTATGAGGCACTGCCATGTATGGGGAAGTAATTCTTAACATATATTCAAAGTAGTCCTATTCTTGAAGTTCTAAGGAAAAAGGAAGGACTTTCTGTACAGAGAGTCTGAATGAAGAAGCAGTGCTGTCAAAATATACTTACCTGGCCAGTATGCAGAGACTCTAGCAATGTTTAAAGAACAGAATGTTCAGTATTGTTTTCTCAAGTAGAGCTTCTTCCTAAGTCAAATTTCAGGAATAAGTTACCCAGCTAACTTCATCTGTCTATTACTTTGGAAAGCCCAGAGACTAATACAGCACTTTTCACAAAAGGAAAATTTCATGCCGGAAGGGAGGTAATATTTGGCTAAAACATAAAACTTTAGAAAACAGGAAACATACCCACTCAGGTTGTGTGTGAAATGTCTATATGCATCTTGGGGAAGACTTGGAGTAGGGTCTGAAAGCTTTTTATCAACCAAAAAAACTAAATAGTGTATCAAGTTATATTTTCAGGAACACACTGCTGCATAATTTCATTTTCAATACAAATAGGTTAACAAGAAGGTTAAAGAGTCTAGTTTCAGGCATTGAGTTTTATACTATTCCATATATATCTGACCCAGGTTAGCTTTCTCACAAGGACAGGGAGGGAAAAGAGAATTTTACTTGAAAACCAGACCAACCCATAGCCATGAATAAGGTATTCCCAATATTGGCACTGTTCAGGTGCAAAAATCCCATATACCTGCAACAGAGTTGCTGCCTACCATATTTTGTTATTCTATATATGCTGCAGTTTCAAGAGGGACACGTTGTTTTTCCTCATTAGGAAAATAACAGACCACTGCAAAACGATCAGACAACACAAGAGCAAGCAAGGTGGAAAGAAAGGGCATATTGCTAGCAATCCCACTCCAGAGAGAAGTGTGTTAACGGTTCCTCTCAGAGCTGCTTATAGCAATGTATTTCCTCAATCTTGGCCTCCATATTGTGAAAGTTTTGTATTTCTAAAATCTGTCCGCATATCAAAATTGACATATATAGTTACAATAATGTTTTTATTAATATGTCTTAAAGTTGTTTCAAAGAATGAGGCTACTGTAGGTAGTACCATGGAATGTAACTGAAAAAAGAAAAGCGTAAAACAGTGCGCATGCTGTGCCACCCTTTCTATATTTATTTTGTTACAGGATGGATACATATATGCTGTTATATGTGTATTTTATTTCTAAATGGAATCACAGAGAATAAGTAAAGGTTGTCTGAAAAGGGGAGGTGGTAAAGATAGGAAGTGATCTAGTGTGCACTGTATACCTTTTCATCTTCTGAATATTTATTTTACTCATTTAAAAGTCACTTCTCAAAAGTAAAGAATAATACTACATATTGTTATGGATACTTGTATACGAAGTCAGCATTTAAAAAACACATAATAAGAAGGATATATATCAAATTCATTAGTGTTTGACCCTAGATAGGATGAAAGGAAAATAAAAAGCCTGCTTAAAGAAAACCTTATAGCTATGAAGTTTTGATTCTCTAAAATGTTACTGTGAACAAATATGACAAAATATCAACCCTTGTTAATGATGTGTTGTGTGTACATGAGAACTATACTAGTAAGTATACCCTTTTTAATTTAAACTTTTAAAGCATAAAAATTAAAATACATCTCACAGATACCACTACATATCTATTATAATTGTTAAAATTAAAAAGTTAACAGTTCAATGCTAGAGAGGAAATGGACCAATTGAAACTCTAATACAAAACTGGAATGACTGTAAAATGGTACAATCATTTTAGAAAATGATCTGACAATATCTTATAAAACTAAACAAGCCTGCAAACTATTCATAGGTATTAACTCAAGAGAAATGAATGTATGTCTATTTATAGAAAGACTTATACAATAATTTACATAGTAACTGTTTACAATAGTCAAAAAAGGAATAGAGTAAGTGTCCATCAATAAAAGACTACTAGTATATCCATAAATGCAATATGATTCTGTAAGACAAAAGAAATAAGACTATTGATACATGCAACTGTGTGAAGGCTTTCTAAACATTATGCTGAGAAAAACATTTGCATACAAGAATACATACTCCACAATTCTATTTATATCAAGTACTAGAATAGCAAAAGAAATCTATTGTGGAAAAAGATGAGATTTTGATAAGGGTTTATGTTGCACAGTTGTATGCATTTGTCAAAACTTAATGAATATTTACTTTAAAATATGTACATTCTAATCTACATGAATTCGGCCTCAAAAGGAAGAGTGAGGTGTACTGATGTCTGCAACTTACCTTGAAACATCTGAGGGGGAAAGGATAGATATGTGACAAAACAAGTGTAGTTCAATGTTAAGGTAGTATTTAGATGGTAGTTTTAAAGGTGTTCACTATAAAATTCTTTTACATTTTGTTTGAAAATTTTCATCATAAAATGCTGAACATAGTTTAAGTACTTCTAGTCTAACTATTCTTTACAATGTATACACATTGTATATAGGAGGTCTTTGTCAATATGTATCAGTCTACCTCATCTTTATTAAGTTTAATAATTTTAAAGCAGAGTTTGTAAGTATTATATTAAATTTCTGGAACCATGATAGAAGAGACGATGGGCTTTTTGTTTTTGCTTTTTACTTATTTTTTCTTTTTTGCAGTGGTGAAGATCAAACTCAGGGCCTTATATATGCTACACAAGCATGATACCATTGAGATATATCCTCTTCTTAGAAGACACCATGTTTAAAATAAACAAGCTAAATGCTAGATGTGCTTGATGATTTGCAAATATGAAACACACCGCAGGTAAGGAGGGTTTTTAGGACCAGCTCAGTGCCTCTCCCAGAGTCTTCTCTAACCCAGTTCACTGTACTCCCGAAGGAAGACCTCAGCATTTCACTACACTCATGAGAGGAGACAGAGGTCCCAATGGGTCTCAAAGTCCCTGTAGGCATGGATGCCATCCCTCTCCCTTCTCTTCCCTCCCTCAGTTAGGTAACATCGGCCCCAGTAATCACAGTTCTCCCACCCCTCCCTCACAGTGCCCCCAAACTGGCATGGCCGGTCCAAGAAAGATGACGAATCTTCTTTCTCCTGCATATGCTTGCCTTTTAAACAGATATGGTTACTGCTTCGTGTACATTAGACCAGTCTTCTTCAAAGGATGATTAGATCCAAGAGTGAGGTTTATGTTGGGAATGGAGGCTGGGGCTTTGGCCTTTAGCACAGCAACTGGAATCCATGGCTCAGCCTCAAGTGGTGGCGAACCTATGGCATCCATGCTGCTGTGAGCTGTTTGTTATCACTGAATGCTCTACAAGATTTGCCATCACTGAGATTACTAGAATATTGCAATGAGTCATGGGAAAGCTCCCTTGGAAGTAAAGCTTCTCTCCCTCTCCTCTTCGACGTGCTCTCCTGTAGTGTCTATGTTTTTGGGTGGAATTAGATTATTTCTGGATGTCCTAATCAAATACCGCTAATAGAATCATAATATCAGATTTTAAATGCATATCACTTCTCTTTTTTTCTCCTGACCATATATTGGGTATATCTATGCTCATCAATATATAGAGACTTTTCTATTGCATGCTTTCTAATATTTAGTTAAGGAACATTTTGGTCCAGGGATCATTAAAGCGTATATATAGTAAGACCAAGGACTACAGGACATTCATCTTCTTCTAACAGAACACATGTATGTCACGGACCTGAACGAGGACATAGGGGCCTCATTACAGGGCATGTGGTTTGTCCCAGTGTGACATACCTATATATGTCACATACATATATTCTGTATGTGTGCATTGTTACAAACCAGAAAGTGGTGCAGTCTGTCAGTGTTTGGCTACAGGACGCCAAATGATATAGTTTGTGAAATCCTTGCTTTCCTAATGAATTCCATCACTGAATTTTTTTATTATGTAAGTATATTCCCATTTTATGTTTATAATACAGAATAACACATAAGAAATAATGAAAAAAGAACTTTGGAATCGATAAGTTATTGAGTAATTATTTATTGCTTACCTCATTTGAAGGGATTGTGGCAAAGGGTTTGATGATAGCAGCTAGTGGAATCTGAGCCTGCTTAGCCATATCTGATGTGCACGGGAAACAGTACGTAGTGCAGCGGATGTATCGAGGGCTAGCGTTGCCTGAAACATTGAAGGGACACACTTAGAATGTGGTGAGAAAAATATATTCTTAGACACTTAAATATTTATAAGGAATCTTCTAGAATGTATTGCTTTATTTGCAAAGTTTTCTCATTTCTTATAATGAAAAAGTAATGTGAAATTCTGTAATCTATATGCTAGGAACACTATAATTTATTGCTAATACCCTGAGTTATATAAAGATATTAAAGAGGTATTTGTTACTGTTATTTTCCATGAGTAGGGCCTTAAATAGCTTTAATATAGATTTGAGAGATGTTCAGATTCAATGGGAGATATGAAACAGAGAGGCACAAAAATACAAAAAGTTAAACATCTTGGATCACAAACATTTCTCCTTCCTCTTTTTCTATCAATGTATCTATTTATGGAAGGATAAGCATCTTTATTCCATTTCATACCATTAAGTGATACTTTGTCAAGTATGATTCCATTTTGACTTTTTTCTAAACTTGGCAACTGACTTAGAAATAAAATTCTATTTGTAATAGGAATACTATTTTTAAAAACATGCTAATCTATTTTTAACATACATTAGGTTTCTTGACCAAATATCTCTATTTCATGGTATACATGAGTGCTAAAACTATCCACAACATAATGGATATTTCTTTTCACAATGGATATTTTTAAGTACTATAATAACATCTAAAATCTTGAAATGGAATCATAACATATTAGGACCAAAAGAATACAATCATCAAACAATATTCTTGGAGTGTCTGCTGTGTTTTAGGCACTGACCTAGATGCTACCTTATACAGTTTGTGTTCTTGCAGATAATAACAGAGATAATAACAAAGCTAACAAATGAGTAAATTATATAGGGATTGGAATACTGGATGATGAAAAAAGCCTATCTGGCTAAGAGGTACCAAACACTGGGAACGCAATGGCAATTTTAAACACTTATAAGCTGGTCCTTATATAAAAAGGGTCATTTAAAGCAAGGCCTTAAAGGAGACAAGGGATCTATTCAGGAAGACTCCTGGGGGAAAGAGATGCCTGGCCTAGCAGAGGGACAGTAGGAGGCCCGTGTGGCTGACCCAGAGTCACTGTTGTGCACAGCAGCTGGTGGTGAGCTCAAAGAAATGGGGCCAGGTCAGGTAGCCTGATTCCTAAAACCATCTCCCCTCTGCCTTATATTTGAATGAAATGCAGAGCCACTGATAGCTTTGAGTGGTCTGAATGCCACAGTTTCACATAGGTCCCTCTGATAGTGGTTTAGAAAAAGGACACAGTGCCAAGGAGCACAATCAAGGCGACCTGGGAGGAGGCTGCTGCAGGGGCAGGAGAGATATGGTGGTGGTGAGGACTGGCTGCCTAGCAGTAGAGGTTCAGAAAAATGGGCAGATGTGACATATGTTTTGAGGGTATAATAACATTTATTGATGAGAATGATGTATGTAGTATGAGGATGTCTGAGAAGGGAAAGGGTCAGGGAGGAATCCAAGGTTTCTGGCCTGAGAAAGTAGCTATCCACCAAAATGGGAAAGGATGAAGGAAAGGAAGGGGTTCTTAAGAGCTGTGTGGGAGAGATTAGCAATCTATCTTAGGACATTGACTAGATGGTGAATCTATCAGGTGATAAAACAGCAATGATTAGTAGACAGATACATGAATGTGGAAAGTGCGCTGAAGTCTTGGTTAGAGGTGCAAGACACACTTGGGGTCTCAGCATATGAATAGTGTCTGAACCCACGCAACTAGATCAAAATTACCAGGGGAATAATTGTGGCCAAAGGAGAGAAGATGACCAAGGACTGAGCACGCAGACTTTCAACATAAAGAGGTCACAGCTCAGTGGCTTAACAGAGTGAGGAGGATGAAAGCAAGGAGTCTGATGTCCTGGAGGTAAAATTAAGAAAGTGTATCAAGAAAAAGGCACCTGTGCCAGACGCTGCTGGTATACCAATGTGACCACCCAGGTTAGTGATCTGGCTAGAGGTCCTGAAGAGAGAGTCTGGATGGACTGGTGGGGCAAAGCTTGCTTAGAGGCAGTGTGAGACAACAGATGAAGAACCGGTGATAGCCTTTCAAGGTATGTTGCAGAGGAGAGCAAAGTAAAGAAGGTAAGGAAAGCAGATAAAGAAAACATTTCTATTTTTTAGAACAGGAGGGATTTTTTTCTTTTAAAATTCATTCATAAAGAGAAAAATATTGATGATTTACAAGAAAGAGACTTACTTTAGTGCAAAGGGAGAGAAGCTGGCTTTTGACAGGAGCTCAGATGTCCCACCCATGGCCAAGAGGAGGAAGGTGGAGCAGGAGCACACAGGGTGGGGAAGTTTGTGCTGGGGTGAGATTTGCACAACTTTCTCAGACAGGAAGAGTGAAAAGCAAGGGGGGAGGGAGGCGCTACAGGTAGGGGCCGCACTGTGAAACAGTCGCCAAGGAGAGTGCAAACGTGAAAGGACTTGGCAAGTATAATGCACACTCAAGGCTGCAGTCCTGAGCTTGAACCAGGCCTGCAGCATAGCTGAGTCTCCCTCTGCCCACGGTTTGCTGCACAGCCCCATGTCCCGAATGAATGCAAGGTTCTGTTCCACTCCAACCTACTGTTGCCAAATCTTACACTTTTTTAAGGATAAAATAGAAATCTGTATTTTTACATAAAATATTCTTAGTTTTACATAATGGGAGTTAACCAATATAGAAACAAAATATTGTGGAGGATGAATTAATGTGACTGTAGGCTGTATCCAGTCTGGAGGCTCCTAATGTAGGAGTCTGAAAGGGGAATACTGATACCAACAACAGGAAGATGATGATGATGGTGACGATGATGATGATGATGATGGTATCAACTGTCCATGTATTGGACAGCATTCTAAGATTGTTACACACAAACTCATGTTAGTCCCACAATCACCCTCTGGGATTGATACCTTCATGATCCTATTTTTCTGAGGATGGAACTGAGACACAAAGAGTTTAAGTGATTTGCCTAAGGTAAGTAAGTAGCAAAAATAGGAATAGAACCTATCATAACTGTCTACAACATTCCAGAAAAACTGGCTCCAAGTCAGGAAGGTTTTGAATGCTAGACAAGTTGAGACCAATCCTGTCTGCCATGACCAACAATGAAATTTTTTTTTAAGCTAAAGTAAGATGATTAAATGTCTGACAACAATCAATCTACTCAAAGTATACAGGATGGCTTCTAGGAGTGGGACACAACTAGAGACAGGTAAACTGGTCTGTGGCTCTAAGAGTCCAGATGGGCACTGAGAGGGTAAAACCAGCGTTAGGGCAGCAGCAATAAAAGAAAGAGGCTCTCATGGATTTCCTCACGGTAGCCTGCCCTGTGTCCCCAGAGGGTACTTTATCTTGCTTCTTCCTCCTTTACTCAGCCCAAGCTGGCTCTGAAGAGCCAGTTTCTCCCTCACTCTACACTTTTACATTTTCAAATAAATTTTGTCACCATTTAAAAAAAAGACAGAAAAAAAAAGATTAGGTAGTTAAGTTCAAATATGCTGGAACTCTTATTATTTCATATTTAGACAAAACCTTCCTCTTCCTTCTCATTATGTAATGTCATAGACTATGAATTCAGAATATTTGAATACTTTAAAGTGCATTTGGGCTGGGAATTTAGCTCAGTGGCAATGTGCCTGCCTCACAAGCACAAAGTCCTGAGTTCTATTCAAAAAAAAAAAAAAAAAAACCCCAAAAAAGCAAACAAAAAAACAACAAAACAATAAAGGATATTTTTATTTTCCATTGTATTCAATTTTTACCAGCCAAAATTATAATAATCTCTTAAGTAATATATGAGATACTGATTACAGTAATATATGAAATTGGATATTTGTTGCCTTTCAGGGCTCTGATAGCTCTCCTGAATGCTCTCCTGAAGGTAGCTAAAAAAAAACCCTTTTGTTTCAGGAAGACAATGAACACAAAGAATAAAGCTCAGAAAAGCAATTGAGAATTTATTTCTAAAAACAAATATGGGCTGGGCATGGTGACACATGGCTGTAATGCCAGCACTTAGAAGCTGAGAGAGGCAGAGGATTGCCATGAGTTTGAGGCCAGCCTGGCTACACAGTGAGTTTGAAACCACCTGAACTGCAAAGTGAGACCCTGTCTCAAAAAAAGCAATAGATGCATGCATGAAATGAAAAAATAAATGAATAAGCAAACAAGCAACTGTGGGGCTCAAAAGCTATGGCTATCGTAGACAATTTAACAACTTCAGGAATTAAGATTCAAACTTTAAGATGCTTAATAAAGAGCACTCTGGAAAAATCTGGCTGAAAACATTCAACAAATTATTTATTCAACAAATATTTATGAAGCAAGGCCTAGTGCCAGGGAATTGGAGGCAGAAGAGAATACAGTCTCTGGTTTCATATACTAGTTGGAAAGAGTGATAACAGAACAGGTCACTGCAACATAGCATGGTAACTACCACAGAAGAGCAAAGACACTTGAACGTGGCACAAGGACAACAATGGCTCCGCCATGTCGGGTCAGAGGTGAACACACAAGGGATGAGGTGCTTCATCAGCGTCATAAGAGTACAGCAAAAGCACAGAACCAGGGGATAGGCTGAATATTAAAATCAAATCCTGTAGCCAGAGGCAAAAGAGTAGCATGTTTGTCATATATATTCTATACTGACTTTATTTTTCCCATTTTCCTAGTGCACACTCGAGGTTAAAGGGTTTCATTTTGGCAATTTGTACACGCATGTAACACATTTAATCATGCCCATCTCCCCCTTGCTCCACCTTATCCCCTAGTGTCACACTTTTGGGGGAAGGTTTCAATGTGTAATAATGTATTTTGATCATATGCCCCCATTACCAACCCTTACACTCCTTCTACCTTCTTTCCTTCCTCTTTTCTAATAATAATCTCCTTCTAATTTCTTGTCATTTTTATACATATTAGAGAGAAATGTGATACTTGTCTTTGTGATTCTGTATTATTTCAGTCAACATGATGATCCCCAGATCTCTCCATTTTTGTGCAAATGGCAACAGTTCATTCTTTTTATGGTTAAATAATATTCCATTGTATATATTACCACATTTTCTTTATCTATTCATCTCAGTGGGTACCTAGGCTGGTTCCATATCTTGGCTATTATACATTGTGGCACAATAAACATGGGTATGCAGGTGCCCCATGGTATGCTGACTTTAATTCCTTCATGCATATAAACATGGGTATACATGGATCACTGTAATACAATGTCTTTAACTCTTTGGGGAAGACACCTAGAAGGGGATCTACTGGAATTTCTAGTTTTAGTTTTTGAGGAATCTCCACCCTGATTTCCATAGTGATTGTACTAGTTTATACATTCCCACCAACAATGTAGGAGGGTCAATTACCTAAGAATTCTCTGTCTCAATTTTCTCACACTGTGATACAATTTTCTCACACTGTGATATCTCATAAAGTTACAGGGGGGATTAAGTGAATTAAATGCTTAGAAGTGCTTAGAAGATGGTTTTGATAAAAAGTAAGCACTTAAGAGTCACAATCATAATGGTAACACATATGTTTTACTACTACATTATTAATCACAAGCTTAACATAGAAGCCTAGTACATAACAGATATGAAATATTTGCTAAATGCATGCATATGAATGACTGGATGAATAAACAAGTACAGACCTGCTAGCATGTAGCTTAAACTTTTGTGGGAAAGACCGACTAAATCATGGTAAAAATTAACATGTTAATGAGTTGTAAAAGAAGTACACATGAAATGATAAGAAATTAGAGAAGATTTCAAAGAGAAAATGAAGTTGATTTTGGAAGAACTAACAATTTCCCCAGCAAAGTGATAAGAATCATATATCCCAAGGATCTTTGCTCAATAAATGTTTATTGGACAACTCATGTTTTAGATAACTGGTGATTTTCTAGGGATAAAATGGTAAACAAAAACAGTCTATGCAGAGAATGCACCAACTGAGAATCAGAGAACATAAAGAGAAAGAGGATGAGTTTGGTATGGCTGAGGCTGTTGTACAGGAAGAAATAGGAGGGAGTAGAGGCTGGTCAGGAATATTCTTTTTTTTTTTGGTACCAGGGATCGAACTTGAGACTTTGCACTTTTGAGGCAGGCACCAGAACCACTGAGTTAAATCCCCAGACTGGTCAAGAACATTCTTTAGGCTATAGAGCCCCAACATTTTTATATGTATTTGAAATATTAAACTGAATTAGTAAATTTTTTAACAAGCTTATGTAACACTACTAGATTGAAATTAAATCTCCATTTTTGTATTTAACGACAGTAAAAAAAAATACACAACTTCATATAGCTTGCCCTACTATATACAGGTTGTAAGGGCTTTACAAATACATCATTGAAGCTAAGTACCTTGGTCTTGTACTACACAGTCGGTAGTGACCAGGGGAGGCACCTGGCCTCTAGTGTTGGTGGAATAAACTTGTCCCCCTCTTGTAGCTCTGTCATTCTCGATCACCTGGATCTGGCAAAAGAGATATCAAGAGCAAGTTAAAGTAAGTCAAGGTTCTTCCAATACTCTACAGAGCTCGCTGGCGCTCTCTCTTCCCTCTCCTTTGTTCTGCCCCTCCCTCCATTCACTCACACTAAGAGACATTTTCTGAATCCTTTCAGATCCAATTCTCACTGAAAATCCACAATGTCTTTAGTTCCATCTATGTTTACTTTTAAAATTTTAGATCAGTAGTTTCCAAATTTCATTCTACAATATTCTGAACTCCAACCCTGACCCTTCAGAGAAATTTTTTTTTTCATTTTATTTGTTGGGACCAAAGGGAAGCATTTAAAATAATATATTTTGGTAGAAAAAGAGATCAAAACAATTTTTTAAAAGGAAATATATTTTGCAAACAAAATTCTAAAAAGCTAAAAATCATTAAATTCAGAAGAAATGACTTCAAAATATGACCTGAATCTCAAGTTTTCGCCTCAAAATCACTCATCTTCAATTTTTTTTTTTTTTTTTTTTGGTACCAGGGATCAAACTTGGGTCCTTGGCTTGCGAGGCAGATGGTGGAACAACTGAGCTAAATCCCCAGCCCTCTTTATCTTCAATTTGCTCTTTTTAAATTTCTTCCAGGACATATAAGAAACACGTGAGAAATAAGGCAAACAGTATAAGGTGTCCCTGTGTGGTTTTTGTCTACCGTATAAAAATCAAAAGAAGCGAAAGTTCCTAATATTGTCATCTTACTTGGAAACACATTTCTCTACTAAAAATTCTTGTTGATGAAAACTTTTAAAAAAAATCTGGTCTTTCTATTGTGACAGTCTAGGGATGAAAATTATGAGTAGAATCTAGTATGAAATTAAGAAGAAAATACGAAGGAATCTTATTATCGTCTCTATTTTCTCCCTTCCTTCACTTCTTTCTTCACAGGAGAAAGGAAATGAGGGAAAAAAATCCAAGAGGGTAAGAAACTTTTTTTTTTTTAAGTAAGAAATAAGTGTGTTCCTTCTAAAATAAAAAAAACCCTGAAGGATATACAGTTTTTTAATAACCCTAAAGAAACCATTATCAATATGAAAACTATCTTTCACTAAACTCTAAAAATGTTACCTTCTCTACTTTTCCCTCATCTCATTCAATTCATACGGTATTTGATTCCCTGACTTAGTCTATTTTTAAATCTACATATATCTATCTTCCAAGTTTCAATGGACTTGAACTATTAGTAAATTAAGAACACAAAATGTGTTCTAAACATTGATTATAGTAAAAATCACAGAGGAGACTAAAAACGATCATGGGCAGAGTTTAAAAAGTAAACAGGAAACTCAAAACACCATGAATGCATTCTATATTTTGATCACAAAATTAATAGGGTTCATTCAAAATGAGAGCAGCTTCATATTATCAACATTTATTACAATCATTTTAATGAAGTCATTTTAAATATCAAATCACTATGATAGTCATATGCTTAATATTATCTAACCTATATATTGAAGTCTTCAACAGATTATACTTCCAAAAGCTTACTTTTAAGTTATCAATTTGCAATTTACAAAGCTCTGTCCCTAAAGAAAAAATATTGTAAGTGGTAATTAATTTCTAAATTAATCCATATCTTGGCTGCAACACTATAAAGAAAAAAGAAATAGAATTATACCAGTTCTAAAAAAAAGAACTATTATAGCAGTTCTAGTGACTTTTTTAAAATGTTCTACAGCTTTGTTATCACTAAGCATATTCTTGAAAAACATGATTACCAATATAACAATAAGCACGAATTTCAATGGAATTTTGACTATGACTAGATAAGAGGATTTAGATGCAAAGATAGTGATTCTTGGTAATACTAAAGGACCTCAAAATGTGTAAGTTTCTCTTTGCTTCAGAAGATGTGCCAGTAGAATTATTTTCACACTTATTTGCTATGAATAAAGTATTCTGGGTTCATAAAATCAAATTAACAATGAAAAACATTCAGTGGACCCTTGACTTACAAACTCAATTTGTTCCCAAGGCCTGGCTGTAACTGAAGGCTCAGGCTCCTCTACACAGCCTTCAAAGTCTCTGTCTTGTATAATTTTAGGCCACACTTTCCTCCACACAGATCTCAGTATTCCTGAGAGAGACACTGGCCCAGGATTTCTCAATTAACCCCACACAGGAAAGGATGTTGTAACGTTCCTTCCAGAACTCTTCAAGGGTTAAATCTGTATCTGAGACCATCTGGAAGCACAAGCGGCTGGCATTTGAGTTGTAACTCAAGACTTTGTTTGTAAGTTAAAACTAAAATTCCCGTTATAACTTAAGTTGTTCTTACGTCAGGCCAGTTGTAACTCAGGGGTCCATTGTAAACAGATTCTCTTGAGATAAATGAACAAGGATAAAAAAGAAAGAACACATGTGAGCCACAGAAGGAAGGTTGCTTAAAAGCAGAAGTATTTGAAATTTGGAGTGGTGAGAGAATTGGGAATAGGAAGCACTCAATTTCTGAATAATCCTCCTGCAGATAAATGGTGTGAGGAAGAGTTTGGATGACGCTATCAGTTTTCTTACTTTCAAAATGTGGCTACAGTCACCAAACAAAAGGTTTGTAATAAGCTGCTCACTTAGGACTGAAGTGTAGCAGGAACATGATTTTACATCTTTCTTTCCAAAAGGGAGAATTTATTTTGTTAGAAAAAGCATGTTACTTTGGTAATAGGAACACAAACAGGCTGCATCTGGCACTGCTATTTCATTAATTTTCATATAAAAATAAATATGGGACTGATTTGTATATATTTGAAGAGTTGGATGAATCAAAGCATCTTGTTTTGTTGTTCATATTCATTCATTCCTTCAGTCAAAATTCACCATCCTTCCCTCCCTGTATTTGTTCCCTTTCAATGTGATTTCCAGCTACTCCTATCCTAGGATAGGAGCATAAGTGCAAGCCCAAATACAACCACGGATGAGATGCTGTTCCAGGCAATAAGAGACGGCACAGTGGACAAAACCACTGCCATCATGGAGCTGACAGCCTCATGCAGAAGCCAGGAAATAAACAAATGTACTACTGATAAGCCTATGTCGGGGAGTGATAAGTGCTCTGGGTACTGAGTGATATGAAATGATGCTGGGATACCGGGGGCAGGCATAAGTCAGGCCCTATACAGGTGGAGAGAACAAGGAAGCAGAAGAAACATAAGTGCGAAAGGCCTGAGGACAGGAGTGTACTTGGCAGGTCTGAGGGGCTGGGGCAATGGAAGCAAAACGCATGACGACTTGGAAGAGACCAAGTCAGAGGGCGCGCGCGCGCGCGCGCGCGCGTGTGTGTGTGTGTGTGTGTGTGTGCGTGTGCGCGCGCACGTGCGCGTGCGCAAGCGCGCGCCGGGGGGGAGGGGCAAGGTGTATCATAGGGCCAGGGGTGGCAAATAAAATAGGGTGTTCCGGGTGATTATAAGAACTCAATATAAGCTCAATAGAAACATGATGCTCATTTAGTAGAATAATCAAATAATATTAAGCTATAAAACTAATGATGAGAAATACGATTAAGATAAAAGCATTAAGAGTTGTTAGCATTTAATTTTTAACATATTACAAAGCCTGGAATAAGCATTAGACTCTTTACCATTAACGTTCAAGTTTACATTAAGTACAGAATTATCAACATATTAAAAAAGTAGTCAAAATTCGCCACCTCTCCCTTCCTTTATTTGTTTCCTTTCAATGTGACTTGCAGCCACTCCTATCATAGGTAGTTAGGTTAGACAGAAATTAATATATAGTCAGAAAGGGACCGGGGTTTCAAGGAAGTTGGCAGAAAAAATAAAGACATCAGAATTGTGGCTGGAGGCTCATCTGAAAAGACCAAGCCTCAAGGTAAAGATGAAATGGCCAGCCCTATAAGCCTCCCCAAAGGATAAGCAATAACTTGAGATTATACTATAATTGCTATCACTGGGTCCAGTGAAGTCCAGATAGGTATCAGTCACCCAGGTCGATGGCCAGAGCATCCGGACCCACCCCTTCCCAAATTTTCTTTTGTTCTTTCCGTATACTCTTGCTACATGACCTGTTTCTCTAGTGGAACAATAGTACCTCAGCGGCTACACCTGCGATCTTATTGGTTGATTATGGTTTGACCCATGTTGTACTCACCTTGTGATTCTGTATCCACCTTGATTCTGTATCCACCTCGTGATTTTGCTGTACAAAATATTCTTACAGAAATGACCTCGGTGGTGACCCACTTTTGGGTTCCTGTTCCAGGTCCTATCTCTCAGGAGCTCTCTCTCAATAAACCTTTTCTACTCTTCACCTACCTGGTTCCTTAGAATTAATTTTTCACTTTATAGGACGAAAACTCAGAGTATCTGACATCTAGCAGGTTGGGAGTTATTTTTTTCTTATATCATTTCTATCAGGGGAGGAGTTTTCCCTGAATACCCCCAGGATCCCTTTAACCCTAGTGTGCCCCCCATACATGCACACACACACATAAAAGGGGAAAGAAGACTCCTCGAGTAATGTGTCTCCTAATGTCCACAATCAAGGGCTGGAAGAGTGCACCTAGACGGAAGGTTTATGAGGACAATGAATGAAGAAAGGTCCCCGTGAGGAAGAAGAGCACTTACAGGGCTGGGGATGGAGTCAGGATCCAGCTTCTTCGGGGGTGGGGGTGTCCCGGCCATCTGTGCTGGACACTCAGGGAAGCTGCCTGGGTAGGAGAGCTGTGCACCTGCCATCTGTGGGCCATAGTTGGCTGCTTGGAAAGCAAAATTTAGAAAGAAATGATAATCTCAAATCCCAGAGGTAAGACTCATTGACAATACTTGTTGTCTACTCAAACATGTTGTATTTTTCATCTTATTAAATAGGGTGAGAAATTAAGCATGAATAACTACAGTTGCCTTTTTTATTTTTTGTCTTGCCACAGGACTAAAAAAACTATCATTCCTTAAAGGCAAGTGACATAGGAATGAGGCTGATTTCTAATTCAGGGTTCCTTGGGTAAGCATTCTGGCCACCTTACCCTGCTGCTGTGGAGAATACCCAGCACCCAGCACAGGGCCTGGCGGAGGTGGGGGCTGGTACTGGGTATTCAGAGGTGGTAGCCCAGGCAGCCCATCCTGCCTGTGCGCTGGTAGAGACAGTGGTGAGACTCCAGGGCCATTCAGTGTGGTCGGGGGTGGTGGGAGAACCTGGGATCCAGGCTGCAAAACGGATGGCTGTGGAGGTCGTGGAGGACCCTGGAAGGATGCTACTGATGGAGGGCCAGGGGGTGCCTGGCTGGGGGGAGCCATGCCCGAACCTGTGCAAAAGAGAAGACCAGCCTGCCTCAATGCCAACTGTTCACTTCTGTGACTTCTATGGCATACATCATCCACACACTTGTTTTCCAGATTGCTTTTTTTTTGGCCACAAACTGAAATGTTCACTTAGGAAGCGATACAAATACTACTTGGGGCATTTTATACAACTGGAAAATTTTTAAAGGGTCAAAGCAACATTCCTAATTTTAGTGAAAGAGAATAAATTTTAATTCAGTTGCATTAACTTTACATGATATATTAATTAAAGTATCTATGTCTGGTATAAGATCTTAGAAATAATACAGTAGAAAAATGTATTATATAGCAAGCATTATTTGGGTAACTTACACATTCAATAGGTTATTTGCTTTCTGTGCTTAACTTAAATAAATTTCTGAAGTTAGTAGAAATAACCAGAGATAAAGGATGGGCCATTGACCTGCTTTCCAATTATGTCTTCCTGTCTCTATGTGAAACTGAGTCACTTATCTAAGACTGATCCTTTGTGGGGAGGGTGTGCTAGGGATTGAATCAAGGGCCTGGTGGATACTAGGCACATGTTCTGATACTGAGCTACACCCACAGCCCCAAGACATCTACTTTTACAAGATAAGAAGTATTCTGAGAGGGTTTTATTGATACTTCTAAAAATCTAAATTTAATATGGAAATATTGTTCATCAAGATAAATGACTATACTGTTATGACAGTGGAGAGTCCTACAGCTCATGGAATATACAGCATTTCTATGGATGTAATCTCAGCATCTGTTCTCTCTCCTTCTCTTTTCTGCCTTATGACATCTGACCTTCATTCTTCCCATGATCTAAACACAGAGTTAAATGCACTGTGATCATGAAACAGTGATTTTAAGACTACTCTCATATTTCTTAAAGTATTTTCACTGTTCCAATGTTTATTTGTGAAGTCAGCAATTTTGTTTTTCATTGTTCTAGCATTCAATGTAAGGTATTCTGAGAGTGCTTCCTTCAATTATCTTGAAACAAGGGACAGCATGATTGGGAAAAAAGGAATTATAGGGCCGGGGATTTAGCTCAGTGGTGCCACCGACTGCCTTGCAAGCTCAAGAACCCGAGTTCAATCCCTGATACCTACCCCAAAAAAGGAATTATATATATATATATAAAGATGACTTATATAAAGATGTCTAAAGCACTACTTCGATAAGGCATGCCAGTTATTTCTATTATTTTAAAAATGAAGGAACTATTTCTCATTAGAAACATTCATAGCTGGGCACAATGGCACACCCATGCCACCCTAGAACTCTGGGTGGCTGAGGCAGGGAGATCCAAGTTGGGCTCCAGACTGGGTAGCTCAGTATCTTAGTGAAACCCTATAAATGAATGAATGAATTAATTAATTAAAAAATAAATGGTAGCTCAGTACAAAGGCCCTGTGTTCAACCCTAAGTACCAGAGGCAGTCAACAGACACTAATACGAAACTATTACCATAGCTGTTGATATGCATAGCACTGAGCTGACTGCCCAGGTGGGTGACAGATGAAGTGGACACAGGACTTGGATAAGATGGTTGTGTCGAGGGCTGATACTGTGCATAAGAGGGTGCTGCACTGTTGACAGGTAGAAGGCCTGGAAATCTGAGAGACAGAAAAAAGGGTGTTAAAAGATACATAGAGTCTTTTAAGCAAATAACATATTATAAATGTCAGTAACTTATAAAATTATAACAGACCATTTCTATGGACACTGGGAAATGATTAATATTGTATGCTAAGCTCGACATGAGATCAAAATGAATCATATAGTATCATCTCATATCTATGTTCACATGTTTAATACAGAAAGACAGAAAAAATAAAATTTCTTATGTGAACACAGACCAGACTTGGAAATAAATTTAGGAAGCTGAGCCCACCACAGCTTTATGTTTACTAAAGCTAATGACCAGTAGAAGAGAAATCAAGAAAACTAAACGCTTTGAGGTTTCATCTTTGTGATCTTTCTGCTTATATCCTATCCAGTTTTTAAAAAACATCATAGGGACTATAATCCAAAGTCAATTAGGATGCTCCCTGCCAAATAGTACCTGGAAGGAAACAGTTCAGTAAGATGTTTTGGAGTTGACTTTTTTTAATATAAAAAATTCATCATTCTTTTCCTTTTAGATTGATCTTGTACATTTATTTTTCTTTATTTTGCATCTAAACAATGGCCAACAAGTGGGCAATGTTCCTGTTAGGGTTAAGCAGCCTTGGAGTCACACTATGAATTTTTTTTTTTACTAATTTAAAATTTGAAATAAAAATTAAATTTTCCCAGATGGTACTCTGAATTTAATTTCCCTGTTTCTACAGGTAACTATTTCCCTAGCAGCCTATGTCTTAACTTCCATTCCCCAGTGCCACACAACAGCTTAGAGACAGAGTCTGATAGAGGCCAGTGGCTTGCCCACTGTTCCATGAGAAAGTTAACTAGATTTTTAAAAAAAATCTCAGAAGGAGTTTTCTTATTAGCAGGTCTCTAGGCTCCTTCGAAGTGTAACTCAGTGGCTTCCCCATTGGCAGGGCCCAACTTCACAGGAGAGTTATGCCTTGCCTCGCCCTTCTCTCTACCCGAGTCTAACCACCCAAGGAAGGAAGCTGGGAAAGGAAACCCCTGGGCATCCTTGGAGAAGCTCCAAGGTAAATGCTGCCCATAGCCTGACTCTGGTGGCAACAAAAGCTCACAGAACAAACAATAATGGGATTTCCAGCATGGAAGGTGTGACGCTGGCTCCCAGCCCAGGTGATAGTGCCTTAGGGGTTGCAAGCACTAAATATCTCAGGCATCAACTATCTTGATTTTTCTGAGCCTGTCTCTACTTTCTTCTTTTCTCAATTTATTATAAATACAAACATGAGATTTATTTCCTGTGTTGCTTTTACTACCACCCTGCGAACTGAGAATTCCTCAACGGCATCTGTGTGCCTGCTACATTGAGGCCAAGGCTTTACCTTTGGCCTCAGTCTGACTGTATTTTATAATATGTATTAAGCACTTTTTGGCACTGAGCTTGGTTCCGTGAAGGACTCAAAAGGATAATGATTTTAAGTTTTATGACCAATATACTCATAGATCATAGGTGGTTGAAGAATTAGTGAGTCATACAACATTCTAAAACTGAATATAACTCAAAACTGAAAAGTGTGGAACTGACAGAAATAATCTGTGGTATATTTAAAATATGTACTAATCCTTCTTTCTCTACCCTCTCTAAATGCTTTGTTTCCTAGGGCAGTTTTCCAAGAGATTTTTTTTTTCAAAGATGCGGACATTCTGAAGAGGTTATACTTTCAACCAATAAACACACAAGTTTAGAAGGTACTTTTAAACAATTTTAGTACAGTAGAAAAATGAGGGTTGGAATCTATTTAGCTCACCTTTGGGGAGAATGACCTGAGGCCTGAGCTCCATTCTGGCCTAACTGATGGGGTCCAGGAGGTGGTGGGCTGGGAGACATCATCACCACAGGGGCCGTAGCCCCCAAGTTCCCAACTGGCTTCATCATACCTGCAACAGAAGTGCATGGATTAAGAAGCATATTATGACGCAAAGAAAGATGAAACAAAGATGGTAGATTAACAGTGCATAAGAGGAAAAAAGACAGAAACAAATGGGTTAGGACAAGAAGTCCGTCCAACTTACTTTAACCATTTCCTATAGACTTTCAATGCCAGGCTCTGGCATAGTTATTTATCACAGTGATAAAAGAGTACATAACATAAATAATTTTAAACACCAAACAGAAACTAAAACAGAGGATATAACCTTTGTATATGGTAGAGCATCTTGACAGAATACACTATCACACAAAGAATATTAGGTCAATGTCTTAGTTATTTTTCTTGTTGCTGAGACAAAATATCCAACACCCAAAGTTAAAAGAAGAAAGGCGTATTGTAGTTCAAAGTTTGTAGAGGTTTCAGTCCATAATTAATGGGCTCCAAGGCAGGATGGCATGGCAGAAAGGCATCACAGAGGAGAAGCAGCTCATGGCAAAGCAGGGCAGGCAGAAGGCAGCAAGCAGCAAGTGACAAGCTGCAATAAGTGATTGCAGCCCTCTTTCTGTCTCTTATATTTTATCCAGGCTACTCATCCTTATGGCAGGGAGCACACACACCCATAGTTCTAGCATCACACCATGAATCAATGCCAGCATCACATCCTTGATCCCAGCATCACACAAGCTAGATCCAGCCACCTCTGAAAAGCCTCACCTATAACTGCATGAGGCTTTGAGGGGATATTTAGACATAGGCCATAACAATCACACAATGAAAAATGCCATTTGGATATCAGAAAATAAATCTGGAAAAAAAGAAAGAGGCAATGGTAGAGCATCCTAATTTCAAATATGAAAAAAATCCAAAAATGCCTTTGAGTTACAGCATGCAGAAAGCCAATAGAGAATGGAGTCTTTCTCCAACAAATCCTGAGCATATATTTTGGAGCCTAGTATTTTCCCAGAATCCTAAACAACTGGGAATTGCTCAAGTCATCACATTCATACAAAGTGTAGGGTCCTGTGCAATTAACTGATGCCCTTGGCAGTGACTGTGTCTTTACTCATAAGCAACTCCTCTCAGTCAGCAATCTTTAAAAGTTTCTCTTCAGAACTGGGTTTTTTTTTTTTTTTTGGTACCAGGGATCGAACTTGGGACCTTGTGCTTGCGAGGCAGGCGGCGGAACCACTAAGCTAAATCCCTGGCCCCTAGAGCTGTTTTTTGATGTTTTCTTCTAAAGAAATTGTGGTAAAGGGAAAAAATCATTGGACTTGAACTGGATTCAAAGCCACCTGCCTTTTACTCTAGTTGTATGGCTCCACATTAGAAACTTAGCTTTGAGCACCTGTTTATCCCCTGAAAATAAAAGTAAGAACACTTCTAGCCTCTTAAAAGAAGAAAGGAGAGAAAAAAAATTTCTTCTATTTGTTCTCTCCACTTCCATCCTGCTTGTTTTTGCTCTATCCCATGCCAAATCACTTGTTTGTTTGTGGTGCAAGAGACTGAACTCGGAGAGTTGGCATTGAGATACAACCCCAGGCTTTTTCCTTAAAATTGTATATATTAATGGAGTACCCTGTGGTGTTTTACTACATTTATATATCTTATAATGTTTAAATCAGGTTAAACATATCTATCTCTTCAAACTTACCTTTTTATGGTGAAAACCTTCAAAATCGTTTCTCCCAGCTACATGAGATATACAGCACATACTTGTCATCTACACCGCCTGTTGTGCAATAGTGTACCACAGCTTACCATTCCCACTTAACTGTACCTAGATCAACCTTTCCCTCTCCTCACCTTTCACCTACTCTCCTCCACTGCCGGTATCCACCATTCTACTCTCAACTTCTATGAGATCAACTACGTTTGAGAGTCTACATATGAGTGCAATCATGCAGAACTTGTCTTTCTGTGAAAAAAAATTAGAACTCTCCATTTTTATGATGTTCTAAAGCTTCAAACCCAGCGAAGTTAGGAAAACATGAGACTTGTAGTCATGCAGGGTTTGAATCTTTCCCTATAATTTAGTAGCAGGGACTCTTACAACACTCTTTATCTTCCAGAGCCCTGACTTGGAATATTTTGTCAGGCAATAATGTCCCCTATCTCCAAGGGTTGTTCAGAGAAGTAAATAAGGCGAGGGTGATGTGAGAATTCAGAACAACTGCTTCCCTTCCCCTGGCCATACTCCTTAATTTTCCTTTTTTTTACTGGATCTGTGTTGTAACAAAGCATATACACCACAATTACATGCACACTTGTGGTTTTAGTTTCAAACATTATTTTGGACAAAAGTAGAAAAACCACAATAGTAACATTAAACTTTTCAACTTAAATATTACATGCACTATAAAAAACCAAAGATATTTTTGCTTTTTAAATAAGTAGCTTGGTAGTCATTTCATCAAGTCCTGCAGCTGTGTCTAGAGACTAGAAAAATGTTCTGATATACTCAAGCACAACTGTTGTACATCAGTCTTACCAAAATGTGTACTTCTTTTTGTCTTTGGAAATCAAATCTGTAACAGTGATTCAACTCATTCACCATAGATTCAACTCATTCAATATACAATTAACATAACAATCATTATGTCTACACATATGTACTAATAATAAATAAATATTTAAAACCATGCCTTTGAGACCCTAAGCACTCTTATGGAAGAGACAACCATGTAAACAACAATGTTGGTGACATGCGATGAGTGTTATACATAGAGGGAACTCCCTGCCTCTTCCTGGGGACTCAAGTATCGAGAAGGAAGGAACACTTGAGCTAAATCTTAAGGGCAAGCAGGAGTGTTTCTGGGATGGAAGACAGGAAAAGGGATTTCAGTCAGAAGGCAAAGCTTGTGAAAGACCTGAGAGAGTGTCATGATCAGGAACTGGCAGAAGGCTCCATGTAAAGATTGTAGGGGACAGTGGTGGAGTGGAAGCTGTCCAGACTGGCTGGGGTCAGACTTCAGAGTCCTGTGTGCCATTTGGACTTTATCCCCAGGGGAATGGGAAGTCAGTATCATTGTTATCTGCAAACTCATAGCTTTCCTCTAGCTTCATTATTGGCATTTTCAAAAGTGATCAGACACAGAGTCAGGTTCTTTACATCCCGTGAATTTTAACAGGAAAGGAGCACTTCACAGTGGGAACGAACTATGTTAATGCCAACACAAAAAAAGAAAATTTCTAAGATCACAAAAGTCATCTTTAAAACAGGCAAATAATATAGACTGATTTATTTAACACCAATCCAGTTCCTTTCTGGCTTGCTTTTCTGCATGGTTCTGAGCTGGAAAGATGGAAACTCTACTTTCCAGTCTCTCCTACAATGTGTGTTGCCCCATACTCCAAATTCAGCAAAGGAACACAACTCTGGAGACCTGGGCTACCCTGGTGGCAGAGATGGGTCCTGGGCTAGGCAGACCGTAACTTCTGGAATGATCTTATATAGAGTTGTGCAGCTCTGCACAGTCTTAAGTCTGTGTCTCTGTCCTTCTTTCTGTTTGCCTCCTGTTACCCCTTAACAATCCTTTTCTACTACAAGGGATTCTGCTATCAGCAAAGGAACTATGACCAAAACATCACAGAAAAGCATACCCTGAATTTGGCCCTGGAGCCAAAAAACTAAAACCAAAATTAAAACAATTTGTGAGGGAAAAGACTGTTATATGGACAGAACCATAATGGCCACTTGCTCCTCCTGAAGCACTGTACTGAGTGTTACACCTCCATAAGTCCACAATTTAGTTAGGATCTTCATCACTACCCCTATAACCCTTTCCTAGTTCCAGGACATTAACACTTCCAGGGATGATTTTGCCCCTGAAAGGATGCTTGGCAATATCTGGGACATTTTGGGTTGCTATACCTCCTGGAGGGGAAGGAAGGTACCACTCACATCTAGTGAGTAGAGGCCAAGGGTGGTGCTAAATGCACATGACAGCCCCCTACACACACACACTCCCCAAAGAATAGTTATCCCCAAATAGCCACAGCACTGACATTGAGAACCCTGCCCTACGAAGCAATGTGCTGTGCCCCCTGCTAATTCCTTCTCTGCACTTTCTAATATGCATGTAGTTCTTTCTAAAATGCACATTGGATTGTGACCCTTCACGGCTTAATTCACTTCACTAGCACCCTACTGCCCTTAACGTAAAGTCCAAATTCCTTGACATGGCCCACTTTCCACTCCAGGTGCACTGTTCACCAGACTGTATTTACTTAAATTATTGCATGAAGGATCTAATCCAACAAAGACAGCTTTTAAAAACACCTATGTTGGAAAATATGAGAGTGCTTTGTTGAGGAATGCTGGAGCTTGCCATTCACCTCACTGAATAAATATTCATTGTTATCCAGATTTAGCCTTTCCATAATGTATACATATTATAAAACAACAGGATTTACATGATATAGACAGAGATAGACTGCCAAAAGAATGTATACACACTTCAGCAATTAGCTATACTAAATAAATGTCTGAAAGCTAATGGCCACTACTTTTGAGCACCTCTTGTAATTGTAGAGGCCAAAGGTAACCTGTACTAATCACATGTTGACTCAATAAATTTAGTACTAAATACTGATACAAGTTTTTCTTTTCTTGATTATACATTTTTTGGTGGTCTGTCTCTGTCTCTGTCTCTGTCTGTCTGTCTCTCTCTCTCTCTCTCTCTATATATATACATATAGTCAATTAAAATTATTTAAACGTGAGTTTTTAGAACTGTTTTAAAACATTTCTAAGCAAACAAATGAGGCCCTCCTCCACCTTAGGTACACCTGTTATCATACAGCATGGGCAATGGTAGAGAGGCCTGCACTGTGTCAGAAAACAAAGGATGGACTCTCAAGTAAGCTGGAGGAAGAACATGATCAGAGATGCCCAGAGAGTCTGAAGGAGGGGTGGGAGGATAAATCTGGTTCTGTGCAATGACAACTTGAAAATACAGACTGACTTTCTGGTACAGCAGGGTCCCAATCAGGCAGCAAACAGGAACCAGTCTCCAAACTATAATAACAGCAGACTTGTTGTAAAGGGCGTGGAAGTGGGGTGAATGAACTGAAAAAAAGGAAAATGGGTAAAATAATAAGTCTAAAGGAGCTTAAGATATAAGTAGGGGAAATAGGAGGCCATAAAAATGTTTTAAGCAAAGTCCAAACTAGATTTACAGGCTATTAAAAAAATCCTTCTGGCTCAAGAGTCATTGGTTTGGTGGAATGCAAGGAGATAATGGTTAAGGGACCACTTTAGTAATCCAGGTGAGAGGCAGCTGGATTGAACAAAAAGTGACAGGAGACTGGAAAGGAGGAAGCAGAAGGGAAAGATGTTTGTAATTGCTCTTAGGAAACCAACTGGATTAGAGAAGATAAAAGAAGAGTTTTTGGTTGTAGATCACTAAATAAATGATGCTAAGATGATGTGGAATGCCAGAAAAATGGCTATGAAGAGAAGAAGGAAGGGTGAATAATACTGTTATACTTAAGTTCATATGATAATCTATAATTTGCTTTCTTGTAGGACCTGGATATAACTTGTGGGTCTACCACTTGCCAGCTCTGTGATGTGGCACAAGTCATATTATTCCAGCTATTGTTTTCTTTGCTGCCAAATACAGCTAATAAGGTACTACATAGCATTATATAAGAAATAACATAATACAAATAAATCTTTCAGGACCAGTTTTTGAAATATGGTAAGCTCCCAAGATGGAATAATGTATTGTTACACATAAATGTTGAGGAAGATGAACCATCAGATAAAAGCTGGAGAAAGATGAGTTAATGGTTCCTACAGGATCCAGGAAGGCAAGATTGAAAATGTTTTGGGGAGGCCAGGGATTTAGCTCAGTGGTTTTGCCGCCTGCTGCACAAGCGCAAGAACTGGAGTTTGATCCCAGGTTCCAAAAAAAAAAAAATTCAATTGTCCAGGGATTTAGCTCAGTGGTTTCAGTGCCTGCTGCGCAAGCACAAAGACCAGAGTTCAATCCCCAGTACCAAAAAAACAAAACAAAAACAAATAAATATGGTTTAGTTTAAAAAAAAAAAAGAAAATGTTTAGGGGAGGAGTGGTCCTGGATAAGAGGAAAGATACCTCATCTGAAGGACTTTAAAAGTTGGAGGAAGACTAAATCATAAGGGTGACTTTCCACACCTCAGAGCGTCTCCTGCACAAACTATGCGTCACTGCTAACATGAAGCCTCCCTCCAGGGCCATTTTCACCCTTGTGAACTCCACACTCTATTTGTGCCATCTAGAATGACCTAAATCCTAGCTCCCTATGAGCCCTGTGGGTTACTCATTGATTTATACACGGCCTATTTCTACAACAGATTATCATTATGCATAAATGACATAATTTGTCCAGGACCAATCCCCTCCATAACATACATAATCTTGCCTTTCTGGATCCTGTAGGAACCATATATCTGTCTTTCTCTAGTTTTTCTCTACCAGGTGGATCATTCCTGCTCATCATTTATATACAATATATCTATCCCATGCACTTGAGCTGCATTCCCTAATGTTCTCTAAAAGCCCAGAAACTGTCTTACTCAAGTATTTCCAGGCCATTTGGGACAGCAGACCTGAAAAAACCTATTATGAGCCTCACCCCTGTCTTATGAGGCTGGGTTCCTCAGAGCAGCCCTTTGATGAAGGGAAGTGGCCTCATGCCGTCCACTATCATCAGACAGTAGATGTTAGTCTCACTAACACTTCTCTTTTCTCCTCCTCTGCCCCTAAAGACAAGATTCTCCACTGAGAACAATATTTTAAAGCAACCAACATTATTCAATAATGATTTTAAGGCAAGGCCATGTTTTTCTTGTTAATATCAGCGAATAATCTTTATTGTGCAACTCTAACAGTGTGTTTTTCTAACCTCAAAATTGATTTTATAATATTATGACCCCAAACCCTTTAACACATATATATTTAATACATACTAATTGAATGTTTACAATAACTTCTCCCTCTTTAAGAGCAAGAACAAATCTAACAGTAAAAATAAAACACTCAAGAAAGCTTCTTTGCTTTAGTCTACATTTGAAAATCAAATTTGTGTTCTGTGAAATGACTAAACCAGTGATGTCAGGTTCAGGTATGAAAGATGTTTCAAATGATCCTATAATCTCAAGCGATTGTGTTATATAATGACCATCCAACTCTTCCAAGGCCCCTCTCTCTGAACATACTATGTCTCTGAGCCTGAGATGTGAGTAATCACATAGAAGCCAAAATAACACACTTTACCTGGCGGAGAAGCTGCATGGGAAGGATCCCCATAGTGCCCATGAAGGGGAGAGAGGCCTATTCCAGACTGGGACTGAGAATAGGGCGGTGTAGCCACATAACCTTGTTGACTCATTATGAAAATATCATTCCAAAGGACAATTCTACAAAAGAACCCTGCAACAGAGAAACAAACAAAAAACTTGTCAAGGAGTTTAGTTAATTCTATTAAACACATAAGCACTGTTAATAAATTTATGATAGGTTGAAGAAAAGTACAGGTAGAGGATACATGACGTATCTTCGTATCATTCAATATATATCATTATCCCTTAAAAGGGGTTTAATATACACAAATATAACATTCATCTTGAGTCTACTCAGAACCCAAATGTCAATTTGCTTTACATTTTTAATTTTTCCAGGTTTTTACAAAAAATCTTATTTCAGGGGACGATTTTCAAAAACATTTTACAAGATGAGAAGTTCTCTGAATCCTGGCAAGAGAAATAGGTGTTCACTCCATATTTGCCAAAATTTAGCTGTGTGACATGCAATAAGCCTAGAAGCTCTCTGGCCTCCAGTTCCCTCTTTTAGAAATGAAGCCTCCAAAAGCCTTTTCACACCGAAAACTTTCTTTTCTTCTATCATTTGTTGCCTTTAAAGAGAAGGACTGGTGATATCTGCTAAGACTTGGAATCTCTATACCGGGCAAATGGTGCTAACATTTACATTTTAAAGTCTAAAATTGGTAATTTAGTTTCATTTTCATATTAAATTATGTTTCCAAAATTATGCAATCAAGTAAAAATATGACCAGGCCGCTCTGCCTTCTTCTAGAGCAGGGAGAACTAAAAGGTGCAGCGAGGCAGGCAAAGGCTTTCGGGTCCACTTTGTTCCTAACACTCTGCCTCCTCTCACTTAGCGGAGAGAGACGTGGCAGCTGGAGCTTCGGTCAAGCTTAGCGGAGCAAGCACCTGGGAAGCCGCGGGCACACCTACGCAGGAGCCTGTTGCTGAGTGACACACAGACCGGGCAGGGATGCTCACTCCACAAAGCAGGAAGCAGCCGGTCCCTCTCAATGGTCCTGAGAGGAATTCGCTTCCTCTGGCAACCAGCTTTGCCACGTCAAACTTCCTCACCCTGAGCACCAAGTTGCAGAAACCTGACTCAGCTGCGGCAGGCGACATGGCATCAAGCCACTTGGCACGAGCAGGCCCAGGATCAAAATCCGGGCAGCTCGCATCCCAGGCGGACCCCGTCCACGGCCGCCCGGCCACTCCGCCGGGGTGCGCGTCCCACCCTGGAACAGGCTGGGACTTGGCCCAAATCAGATTCCCGAAGAGGATGTTCCGAGGCTTAAAGACAGAGCTGTCATCTTCACTGCCAGCTCTTGGCGCCTTCTCTTCCTCCCCGGCGAGGAGCTAGGCTGACAGCGAGCCGAGGACCCCCGCGGGCAGCGACCCCAGCGGCCGCCGGGATCCGAACGCGCAGCCCCGTCCCACCGGGCGCGAGGGAGGGGGCGGCACCCACGCCCACCCCACCTGTTCCTCTCCAACTGCACTAAAGTCCTGGGGCGCGAAGTGCGGGTCGGGCCGCCGTCCTGTCCACAGGTGGCCCCGGCCCGCGGGCGAACCGCATCTGTGCCGGGAGGGGACGGTCCCGCTCGCGCCCGGCCAGGCTGCGCGGGGCTTTACCTGGTCCCGCGTCCGCACGCCACCGCCGCCGCGCCGCTCCCCTCCCGGTGGCCCAGGTCCCGCCGCGCCTCTGCTCGGCCGGTGCCCGCAGGCGGGGCGCGTATACGGAGTGGCCGCCGGCTGGGAACTGCCACGTCAAACCGCCGAGGCCGCGCGCCCGGCGAGGGATCAGACCAGCCGCCGCGCTCCCGCCCGCGCACGCGCACAGGCTCCGTGGCTGCGGCTGGGAGGGGCGGAAGCCGGGGGGGCGGGGCTCCAAGGGGGTGGGCGGGGCCCGAGTGCCGGGTTGCGGATTGGCCCGGCATCCTGCCTCTTTCGCCTTTTTGCTCTTCTCCACCTCCTGTCCAGGCCTTTTCCTTTTCAAGTCCCCAGCGCTTCCTCAGCGGTTAGAGAAGTTAAAGGTCGTGGCGCCCCATAGGAAGGAGAGGAGAGGATCGGCCATGGATGGTTCATTCATTCTCTATTCAACAGGTTGCAGGTTCTGGGACCCCTCCAATATCAGTGAGATTGCAGGTCCAGTACTGCAGTGCCCGTGCATGGGAGACCTCAAGGAAATTGCAGTGTAAAGGCAGATCTGGCACGTGTATGCGGACAATTTGATGTCCTGTTGATGTTGGCACAATGCACTACAGAGGAAGGTCTTTCAAGCAGCCCGGGTAGATGGAAAATAGGGCGATAATGTGTCATATCTGAGTATCAGAGAGGCATCAGCGTGGAAGCTGGGATTGCTCTATTCTGTGTACTCCTTCAGTGTGTGGCCATGTACTCCTGTCTGTGAAACAGGATAGCTGGGCACAAACCAAAACAGGAATTGCCACAAGTAACAGCACCCAGTGTTTAGCTTACTGTTTTGAGAGACACAGTTGAGAAATAAGGCTAGCGATGTGAGAACTGGAGCTTGACCTCTATCTTACCCTGAAATCAGGACCATCTGGCTGGTTTCCCATGCACTCTCAACGCTACACAGAAAGGGCTTCAGCCCATCCCAGGGCTGGTGTAGCTATCTAACACTTTACTCAAACACAAAGTAAAACCAGCCCAGTGGTTTTGTTTTTGTAATGTACTTTCTTTGGGGCTACATAAAAATAAAAGCTTATCAAATACCATTATTGATGAACTACCTAGGTAAAATCTTACACTTGCACACTGCAGCCACTGAAATGCCATGTGCATTCAACAGGAGTGTAAAGTCATTTCAGCAGTGAAGATTTATGTATGGTCCCTTTACCCACACACGCAATATTTTAAAGTGTGATCCCCTGTCTCCATTCAGCTGTAACATTGGTCAAGGTTGGAAACCCACATTGAAAATTTTGTTTGAAACTGTTTCTTATTTTCTACATATGAAGAAAGTGGTGAAGGTTTAAAACGTTCTGACCCAGATTGAAACAGTATAGGCTCTAAGAGGAGTGAAAGACATTGTCATGTTATAGCTATCTATTAACAGGTGAGTGGCAGCTATGAAAGGAGGGCAGGAAGGAGTAGTCACTTAGAAACAGGCACACCAAGTGGCTTACTGCCTCTATATAACCACTATATTTGATTTATAAATTCATCCTCACTCTTTGATCAGGAACCAAACTTGTCTGAGGCTAAAACATCTTGTAGTTTTAGTTCTCAGACAGTTTTAAATTAGTAAATGATAAAACTGGAAAAGATTTAGAAATGTGAGTGTTCAGATAAATACTCAGTGAGGACTGAATTCAATCTGGTCATTTAAATAGATTAATAAACAAATTTATTCTGAATATAAAAAGAGCCTAGTAGTCTTACTGATAGTTGGAAGTCATACCTTCTGATTCTAATTCCAACGTGTTTTTCCTATACAGCTTTTCCTTTTGACACTACTCTGATGAGCTATATTGTTTCTTCTGTGACTGCCTCATATTCAAGTTCTGAAATTACTAAAATATTAACTAACTTCATAATTCCACCATTGATTGTAGTTACTAATCATCAGCCTCTTTTTCTTAAGAAATGGCCACCTAGTTGTCTTGCTTTTCTTCTCCTGGTCCCAGTGCCCACGTTTAAGTAACTAATGTCTGACCTTCTATTTCCGGTTGGGCTGCTAGCCTTCACAGATGTGAGAGTCATCCTGAACTCCCAGCCTTCCTTGCTCTGTCTTGCCCTGTTGCCAAGCTTCTGATGTGGTAGCCTGGTAACCACATCCCAGTAGAAAAGTGAGGTCATAAGTAATGCCTATATGCTGTAGTTCTATGTTCTTTAGGATCTTTCTGTTCTGTTAAAAGGAAGAGAAAGAAGAGAGTCAGGTATGCATAAGACTATACAGAAAGAAAATTTTCTGGCAATACTTGGTGTTCTAACTGATAGATTTGGAAGCCAGAGATATGATGCTCTAAGAATATACATAACTTAAAAGGTCTGGGTGCTTCTGATTCCAAAGCTGAAACAGTCTGAAGACAGTTGTTTTTTAGAACTAAAATGGTCAAAACCTGTTGGGAGCAATGCTACATAATTTTGAGGAAAAATCATTTGGCTAGCTTAGTTCTGCTGCCTACAGCCCAGCTATGGAATTCTGAGACATAATTCCATTCTGGCCTCCAGTCACAACTGAGACCTCAAGGATCTGGTGATGCTGTGATTCTCCAGGACAAGAAACATCCTGGGAGCTGAAAACATCCTGGGAGGAACAAACATCTACTCAGTTCCTCCTTGTTCTTGGATTGTTACATCTTATTTAAGCAGGATGTACTGAAATCTCTGCAAGTCATTTGTTACATTTGTTTCTCCCAATGTACTGAATAAAATGTGCGGTAAGGGGGGGGGGCTTTCGTCTTTGCTGCCCGGAGCAGCACTGATCAAACCCAAAGCTCAGCTTCTTCTCGAAGTCTCATTTTTCTACCTTTCCTGTAATTCGCCTTGTGCTGCTGTGGCTCGCAGGAGACTAGGACTTCCTGCAGAGTTTCTAGTAACGTCCCCTTTCCCTGTTCCCTACAAAAACCTGAACTATTTAAAACACTGCATAGTCAATAAGACCAAATTATATATAGTGATAGGAAGGATGCAGAGTGGGCTGATAGCAACTAATAACAGTAATTACAGGGTTCAAGTGTTCATCAATGCCGATATCAAGGCATTTCAAGAATTACTTTTTAAGTATCTTGCTCTGAGTATTCACTCATACATCACTGATAGCATCAGCCACAAAGTGGGGAGTGTGACATCACACTGTCAACTGAACTCCAATCAGGCCTGGATCCCAAAACTATCACTTGGCTACTATCTGGTCAAGTTTTATTTATTGAACAAGTCTTTATTAAACATCTACTATAAGTTTGGTATTGTAGTAAGCACTGTGGATACAAAGTCAGATGAGACACTATCCTGGGTGTTAAAAGTTTACAGTATTGCTGGTACAGAAATTGACAAATCATACTCCACAGATAAAATCTGATCTATTTGCTTTTAGTGTAGACTTCAAACTGAATAGCATTTACATTTTAAAATAGTTGAAAGAAAGAATATTTTGTGACGCATGAAAATTATAGGAAATTAACATATCAATGTCCATCGGTAAAGTGCTTCTAGAACACAGCCATGCTCTTCCATTATAATACTCTCTGTATTTGCACTCTGATGGCAGAGTTGAGTAACTGTTAACACCTCAAGTCCTGCAAAACATAAAATATATACTTCCCAGACCTTTAGCTAAAATATTTGTCAACCCCTGGTCTCATAGGACCTACAATTACAACGCAGTTGGTTGGTGTTCTGTGAGGAGACACGGGTGGCAGGACAATACGTAAGAGGAGACACTTAGCCCAGATGCAGAAAGTGAGAAATAACACCGTGATGGAGACAACATGGATCTGAGGCCCCAGGAATGAGAGTGAATTAGGGAGAATAAGGTGAAGGGCAGCAAGAACAGTGCGAACAAGCCACAAAGAATTTGAAGCAATGGGGCATTCTGAGAAGTTAGTGATATAGGAGAAATGTAACTCCCAAATTCCTAGGTGTCAAATGAAGTTGAAGAATGAATTTTAAGGAACAATGAAGGTTAAGAATAGGAAAGATTTATTGAAAAATAGCTTTAAAGTTATGTTTATACAGTTAATACTGCATAAGTTAAATATTTAAACTTGATTTTACATCTGCTGATTTTGATTAAACAGGCATTTTTGTTGTTATATGGATGGGATGCACTTATATGTTGGGTAGTGGGTCTGTTTACAGTCATCAACACTGTTTCCTAAATATGTAAGTTACTTTGTAACTAATAGGTGCTCTCTTTTGCACAATATATATTTAGACCTTGAACATATAAAATTATCAAAATTTGATTTTTTTTTTG